AGCTACCAAGCTGAAACCATCCCCGGGAATCAGGGAGGGGGCCTGGGGTCGGGCAGCATCTCTCCTGGGAGAAGCTCCAGCATCGTGGGGGCTCGTGGGGCTGGGAGCAGCAGGCCCCCGGAGCGTCAGTCCGAGACCACACGGCTGAGAAGACAACCTCCCGTGCCGCTGTGTAGAGAGGCCAGTGAGGGAATCCTTCCGGCCCAGCCAGCGCTGGGGAGGCCATGGCACGTACCAGCCAACAAGAGACCAGTGAGCAAAAAGCTGCTGGAAACCCCAGCTTGTGAGGAAGGGCTGGAGAAGCCTCCAGACATCATGACAATCATGTCATGTTTCAGCCAAAACTGAACAAAATGAATGAAAACTTGACTTTAAACCATCCTGAACACCGTTCACCCCTGCCCAGCTCACTCAGCTTTCACAAAACCCTCCCCTGCATTTTGAAGTCTGTTTCTTGTCTTTTGAGCTTATTTCCACTGATGATATTCTGGCATGATGAGAAACCAGAGATGGCTGCACTTATGGCTCCATCTATGCCTGTGATCAGGACGCTGCAGCAAAGACTCTGGCCAGGGAGTATCTCTGGTTACCATTACATCCCATCTAAAGCTTTCAAAGAGCAAAAATAGCAATTGTACTGCTACCATAAATAGTAACTAGCTAAATTGTATTAATACGCGACAAGACTTTGCGGGAGGATTAGAGAGGAGAAACGCACAGAATTTGGGTGGTAAACACACAGTGCTCTCGTACCACCGTACACAGAGCTGGGCAGTTGGCTGCTAGGTCAGAAGGGACCCTGAAGCAGGCATCACGCTCACAACTTTGATCATGGCAAAATAATCCTGCAGTAACAGTTCCCCCAGTGTTGGGATCTCATCCTTTTGCGAGATATTTGTGTTTCTAAGACAGCATTCAGGATGCTGGAATGAATCACTGCCCCAGGCTGCATCACCTGCTTCATCCAGTTGCTCGGCTGTTTTGCCACAACTACTATTTTTTTTTCCTTTGAAAGCTGGGAAAAAGATGGCTTGAAACAACACAAGGCATCCCTTTTCTGAGGCTCCATCAGCTCTTACCTCTGTTCTCAGCATGGACTCAACAGCTTAGCTGTTACTCACCCTTAAATGCCACATCCTAACAAGGTCCCAAGCCCTGCTCACACAGCAACTTCATTACAGGCTGATGACATGCCTGGAAGGACTGATCCAGCCCTCCACCCCTTCCCTGCGGGTCAGCCCTAGGGAGGAAGCTAATCAAGAAATTATTTTTTGTCCCCCAGGAAGAGGTGCCCACCCTGCCCCATAGCTACTGGCAATGTTCCCTGCACAGATGTGTTCCCATTTGGTGGGAAAAGGCACACGGTGAGCCCCACAGCACCCCTTTTTCCCCTTGTCACCTGTCCTGGTTCAGCTGGGGTAGAGCTAATTTTCTTAGTAGCTAGAATAGCACTGTGTTTTGGTTTCAGTATGGCTTTTGTTATGAGAAGAATGTTGATAATATTCTGGCCTTCTTAGTTGTTGCTAAGGAAATCAAGGACTTTCCAACTTCCCATGTTTTGCTAGTCTGCAGGTGCAGAAGAAACTCAGAGAGTAGTAGATTAACACACCCTAATCTGCACTTGGATATGGCAATGGGATATTCCATATCCTATAACATCATGTTCAGTATATAAATGAGGGTGGGCCAGAAAGCTCTGAGATCTCTTGGTTTCTCTCTCTCTCTTTTCCAGGATTGTGGTTTGGGGATTGTTTGCTCTGGGATTGCTAGCTGAGGAACAGGCTGGGCGGTGGGTGCTGAGCAACTGCACTGTGCATCACTCATTTGTATATTCCATTACTACTGTTATTATTTTATTTACATTATTAAATTGTTTTTATCTCAACCCACAAGCTTTCTCACTTGTATCCTGATTCTCTCCCCCATCCCATTGGGAAGGGTAAGCAAGCAGCTGTGTGGTGTTTTGTTGCCGGCCAGGCTAAAACCACCGCATCACCCCAGTCCCTTTCCTGCCTTTCAGCCTGGGGAGAGGGACCCAAGGGACCCTGTGCCACAACAGGGCACATCAAGCCCACAGATGGCATTGCCCAAAATAGCAACCAGCCAAGCAGAGTTCACAGGGGGTAGAATACACTGGGAAGGGTGGCTTAGAGGGGGAAAAAGCACTCAGGCCCATTCATACAGCTGTACATGGACCTGGGCGATTGCCAGCAGGTCAAAAGGATCCCTGAGGAGGGAGAGGCTTTGGGAAGAGCAGACTTGCAGGATTCCCAATCCCATGATGGTAAATCCCCCTGTAGGCAGAGCCCATCTTTTTAAGACATTTTGGTCTCCAGGTAGTTCTTTGCATTGAGCTTTCAGTTCCTGGACCACAGACTGGGGAGTGTCACTGTCCCACATCAGGTCCATTATCCTGTTGTTCTACCAGTTTCTTACTTACCTGCTTCTTTTCCCTCTTTGTTTTGCCTCAAGCCATTTTTCCACATTTCTCAAGGCTGCACTTTTCCAAGGAACCAGTGATTGCCTATCAGTTCACACCCCTAAGAAAAACCCCTTTCCAGTCCACAGCTGCTTCTTCGGGGTATTAGCTCAGCCTTAAATGCCACATCCTAACAAGGGCCACCTGGTCCCATGCTCAAGTTCATCCGGCAGCATCTCATAACAAGCTGAAAACACACCTGACAGCCCCACCCCTGAGACCTGACACACTTGGTGTAAGACTCTTAGCCTAAAGCCTGCAGCCTCTTAGCAGGGGAAAGACTGTGTTTATGGGGCCATGGATGACATGGCCAGGCTGTTTGAGACCCTGGCCAGCTCAGCACACACACTGTCGCCCATGGAACCTCCCACAGCACCCATGCAGAGCACCCTGCAGCTGCAGCCCCCCCAAAAGCTGCCAACTCTCTGCAGAGACCCCCAGCCTCTACTTCCCCTGCCCCCTGCAGATGGCTGACAGATGCAGAGACATGACAGTGGTGTGCATAGCGATTGTGGTTAGATTTTATTGTTTTGTTTTGCCTTTTTTTTTTTTAAACCCATATTATTGTTATAATACAAAATATACAGACTGGAGATGCCAAGCGGGTTGTGGGTCACCATGCCCCGGGGTGGGGGGTCACGCCATGCGACCTGCAGCGTGAGGAAGGAGGCGGCATCTGCTCCGTGTGGCAGGGGACAGTGGGTACCCCAGAAAACCTGGGAGGAGGGAGGATGGGGAGAAGGAGACGGGAGGGGTAAGGGTTGGGATACCTGCCCTCCCACCCTTGGGAGACTGCAAGTGGGAGCTCAACCCCATGACAGGAACAGCACTGTGAGATGAACAATGCGTTGAATGAACCTAAAAAACACATCACATCTGCAAGGGCTGGGTCAGGGACAGTCCTTCTGGGGAGCAGCCCCATAACATTGGCTCAGGGCCCTGGGGGGGTTTCTGACAGCTCTGACACCAGGGGCTCAGCCTGGGTCTGGGGCCCAGCCCAGCATGGGTACAGCTTTGCTTACCCCTTCCCCACTGATCCCAGACACTGCAGCCTGGGCCAGCCCAGATCACCCTTGGCTGCTAAGGATGTGGAGGCTGGAGCAGCAGACCCGGGTGCTGCTGGCACTGGGTACATTCCCAGTGCATGTGGGATAGCACAGAGGGGCTTCTGGGGTTGGCATGGGGTCACTCACCATGGGCATCACTGTCCCAGCTACAACTCAGAGGGGCATGTGGGCAGGACAGGCCTGCACACACCCAGATCCAAGGAGCTGGTGTTGACAAAAACATGGGGACCCCCGGAGTGCTGGCTCCATCCCTGGGGTCCCCAGGCAGGTTCTCACATGGCCATGCCAGGAGAAGGGGCTGAGCCTGCCCTGCCCCAGAGGGACCCTCCAGCAATGACTGCCAGCCAGCCCCAGTCTCAACTTTCTCCCCCAGGATTTGCCAGCTCAGCCATGTCTCCAGCACAGGGCCATGCCTGTGGGGACTCCTCTCTGCCCCATTGCTTGCTCCCCAGCCCCCCAGGCAGCAGGAGGGCTGGGACAAGCCAGGGCACGGGATCAAGGGAAGGTCAGCAGCAAACGATGCTGGGAACGTGGCAGTGAAGCCACTGGAGCCCAGCACACACCCCTCCTCCCCAAAGCCTGTCTGCCATGTCCTCAGGAAGAGGTGGGAAGGGCATCTCTCCATTTGAGACCCTCGAAGTGGATCCCTGAGGTCCCCTGTGTACCAGCACCTTGAATTCAAGGGACAGGGGCTGAGGTTGCAGCTCTCTCAGCCCAACATCCTCTATCCTGAGGAACCAAGTGCCACAAGAAGGCACCTTGGAGTCCTTTTAGTTTCCCCTCTCCCCATGTCAGGATGAGCCTCCAAGGTCTAACCAGTCCCCCCAGGATAAGGGGCTGCTCCCCACAGCTTATGCAGCAATTAACCTGTCCTTGTGCAGCTGCCTTCTCCAGCCCCGGCCCCTCTGCCCACCCACTGGCACAGGGGCTGGGCAAGGAGGGAGGCCAGCAGCTCACAGCCGACATGCCGGACACGTTCCCTGTGGCAGGGCACAGCTGGAGCAGGGGAGGAAGTCGAGGTGCTGGCGCCTATTGCAAGACTTTATTGGTTTCTAAACAGCATCACTGGAGGGTTTGGGCTGGAGCCAGTGCTGGGGGCTCCCATGGCTGGGGAGGGTCAGGGGGGTGGGGGGCGGTGGCTGCGCGGGGTGCTGTGCACGGGGAAGCCTGTATCACAGCCGGAGGCTGCGTGTTCCCCACCGGGAATGGGTGCACGGAGCTCCATCGGGCCAAACACTCGCCTTGTGCCAGCCGCGCCCATGTTCCGACATCTGGGAGCACCTGCTTGGGATCCCCCGAGGAAAGCAGAGCCAGCCCAGGGGGGTGGGAAGATCCTGGCACCGACCGTGTCTTTGGGAAGGGAGGCCCCTTCTCGCGGGGGTGTCTGTGCAGCCGGCAGAGGGGAGGCTCGAAGGAAAAGTCGAGAGAAGCAGGTTCTGCGCCCAGTGGCAGGAGAGCTCGGCTGGAGGCAGGTCCGGGAGCTAAATCACGTTATCAAAGAGCTGCATGGACCGCATAATGTTCTCATCCTGCAGGGAGGAGGTGGGAAACGGGCAGGTTGGGCACAGAACAGCAATCTCAGCAGCTCCCCTCAAACCTGGCTTTACCCTCATGGCAGCTCTGACCCATGGGACAAGAGCCCCAGAGATTACAGGCAGATTCCAAGCTCTACTGTGATGCACGGCTCTCCTCATCTGCCCAGGGATGGTGGCATGGATACAGTTCCCAAAGAAGAGCCCCAGCCTTGCCCCTGGGAGCCCTGCCTTCACCCCCTTTCTGCCAGGAGGGTGATGGGGGAACAAGGAGGTGGCCCAACCCCAGAGCAGAGCTCCTGGTGGCTTTACCTTCTGGCAGGACTCCAGGAACTCCTCGATTGTCACCACGCCATCCTTGTTTCGGTCCATTTTCTGCAGACAAGCACAGCATGGGAGTCATGGCACGGACAGCCCCAGCCCCAGGGAGAGCCCAGCACCCTCTGCCCTGCTCCCACATGGGGTCAGGACACAGCGCACCCCTGCCCCAGCCATCCCCAAGCACCCAGCAGGACCAGAATGGCCTTTTTCTTCCCTGGCTCCAGCACAGCCCTGTTTCATCCACAGTGTGGGGTGTTTTCTCCTGCACCATGACAGGTTTTGGGCAGCCCCTGGCTCTGTACTGGAGCTGTGCTTCCCCAGGACCTGCTTGGCTCACCTGGAAGAAGTTCTCCACATGCTCCCGGGGCGCTTCCTCCCGCATGGCTGGGTAGGTGTATTTGCCCATCATGTCATAGATGGACTTCATGATGTCCAGCATTTCCTGCACGGATGGGGAGCAGGGTTGCAGGGTCAACACAGGGCTCTGCATCCACGTGGTCCCCAACCCACACCTTTTTTAGGATGCTCCCAAAGGACCTGTGGGGTGCTCAGGTACATTCCTGTTGGCTCCATGCACAGCGTGGGGCTGTGTGTGTGTGCCTGCATATGTGATGGAGCCCCAGTGCAGCACACCCATCATCTATCCTCCACCCCAGAGACACACCAATGCCAGGGGGCCAGGAGGGACCTATTTGCAAAGCTGAGCTCATCGAATACTGACCCCCTCCTCCCCAGCTCTCCTCCAGAGCTCAGCCAATGCCCCTGAGTCCTGCCCTTGTCCCTGTCAGGCGCAGACCTGCACTGGCTCTGGGGACCAGCCCGGACCCCCCACCCCACCTCTTTAGTGATGCAGCCGTCTTTGTTCAGGTCGTAGAGGTTGAAGGCCCAGTTCAGGCGATCATCAATGGTGCCCCGCAGGATGACGGACAGCCCAGACACAAAGTCCTGCAAGGATGAACAAGGCAGGCAGACAGGAGTTACGGCCACAAAAGGTCTCATGGACACAGAGGGCACAGCTCTGCTTGTCTCTCCTGCAGAGGAGGAACTCAGCCCCAAAGCAGATGAGCCTTGGGGCTGGGCTTACGAGGGAAGCATTAAGTACCTACAAGACACTAGCCAGAAAATACAGAAAGCCTCTTTTTTATTGCTTTTCACTGTTTTTCCATTGCCTCTGGGAATTCAGTAAACTCCACCAGCCCCCAGCGAAGCTCTCCACCCATCTGCAAAAGCAACACTGCTCAGCCCAGCCCATGGTACCTGAAGGGACATGCCCTCCCTGCCCCACTGCCATCCCCTCTTCAGCCACAGCTCACCTCAAAGCTGACAGAGCCGTCGTGGTCAGTGTCAAAGGCATTGAAGAGGAAGGTGGCATATGTGCTGGAGTCTAGGGGAAAGCAGACAGTGTGAGGAGGTGCTGTGTGACTCCCTGCCCTGCCAGACACGAATGCAGGGGATGGGGATGGACACTCACCTCCCTGTGGGAAGAACTGTGAGTAGATCTGCTTAAAGTTTTCTTCATTGACGATGCCGCTTGGACATTCCTGCCAGGGCAAGCCACAGTGTCACCTCCACATTGTGGAGAGGAGCTGAGCACCCCCCTAAATGCCTGCAGCTCTCTAGCCTCACCCCCTGGCCCTGCATTGCCTGGTGGGACAGCTGGTAAGGCTGCTTGGAGCATCTCTCTGATTTTGTTCCGCATCCCAGGCACCCAGGGATGGGGCTTTCTGCATCCAAGGGATGGAGCACAGGATCAGGCCTCCCCACTGAAGTCCCTGGAGGTGGGATCAGGCCATAGCCTGATATAAACTTCAACTCCAAGGTCCTGAAAGCCTTTGCAAACCCCAGGCACCACTGGGTGCGAAGCATCCTCTGAGGTGGACATGGCAGTGGAGGGGGGACTAGCAAAGCTGGTCGAAGGGTACTCACATTCTTGAAGCCTCGGTACAGGACCTGCAGCTCTTTGCGGGTGAACTTGGTCTGCTCCTGGAGCTGCTCCAGCCCCTCGGGGCGGTGGCAGACGGTGGAGAGCTCGAACTCATCCTCAACGCTGTCTGCAAGGAACCCAGGGGAAGAGAGAGCAGCTGAGGCCAGCACCGTCCTGCCCTGCCATAGCAAGGGGCAGGAGAGGCACCTTGCACAGCACACCCCATCCTCTCACACCTGCCCAGGGTAACACATTTTTGGGGCACCTACTCAGACAGAGTTGGGTCTATGCCAGCAGGGAACACTCAGAGACCCCCGGGGGACAGATCAGCAGCTGACACTGGGCAACAGCCCCTCCAGTCTCCGGTAGAGCCCAGGCTGGGCAGAAAGGGGGTGTGAAACCCCTCCCAGTGCTGAGACCTGCCCCCCTGCCTGCCCTTCTCCTCCCCCGAGCACAGGCATCTGCCCTGTGGAGCTGAGATCCTGGACATCCCGCAGGCCTGTACTACACTGGGCCTCATGTCCAGCAGGAGAGCTGCCCCCCAGAACCCCCAGCCCCAAACGCCCCCTGGTTTTGTCTAGACCCCA